TTCAGAATTGTGTTTTCGTTTTGTCTGCTTGGTCTGGACCCGGCATAATATTGTATGTTTCTATTCACAAGTTAACGGATTTTTTTTATTTATGTTGTGCTCGTCTTAGTGGGTTTTTGTTTTTATCTATCAAAAGCGAATTATTGTAATTATTATATTATTATAATCATTGTTATATATGCTGAATATTTTTAAATAATTTCATAGTTTTGTTTAAGTCCATTTTTTCTCTATTGTGTTGTAAACACAATAGTGATCTATAGTATAGTGTGTTGTGTTCTCTAAGATAAGATCCTATCTTAGTCTTTGTAATATAAATCCTCGACCGAAAAATATACTATAAAACATTCTTTTATATACAACTTTTTCGTAAAAACACTAAACTTTATACGATAACGTCAAAGCAATAAATCACCAGTTAGTTCCTTATTGCCCCGCATGGCCACCGCCGGTAATATATATGTATAGTCCAAAGTTGAAAATTAAAAACTTTAGCGCCCTACTCGCCTGCGCTCCGTATTGATTAAGTAATTAAATTCTCATTAAATAGATAGGTTCATCTGCACAACAGATACAACCTTATTATATGGCTCTACTCCTTCTACTAGCGACATCTAATTTCCTAATAGCACTAAACGTTTATTGAGACGGATAAGCCTTCCACGACCGGCCTCATGTAAGCAAATTGAACAAATATCCGGTTGCGTTAGGTTGGAGTTTTTAATGGCACACGATACTAATTGGAATAGAAATTGTGAAGTTTTTGTAATTACATGTGATTATGTGATTACATGTAGTAAACGGAAGGCACATAGATCGATAAAAATAGTTAACTAGTTTTATCGAAAGACTGTACTCATAAAATCTTACAACTAGAAATGAGTTTGATATCAGATTTATCAACATTACTGCTTCTGTGTACTGTGTGTACCCTGTTATGTACAGTATGTTTCACTCTGGCTCACTCTTGTTTATGGTGTCTCTTTTCGTGAATTGTTGAATACGAGAATACTACAGCAGACCAAAATATCAAGAAAAGATATTATGGAAGAAAGTTTTTTGTAACTTTGACAAAAGATTTGATATCTCAGAAAGTATATGAAATTGTTGTTATTATTGCAGCATCTAAAACAAATGATAATAACTAAAGAGAAAAAAAGAAGCATCGGAATTATCGTAATTATTTTAGGCTGTTGGTAGTTTTGCAGCGTTGTAATTTCCTAAGATATAAAAATTTTGACAGTTTTGTACAAAACGATGCAGTTTTTTTTTAAGTTCACATATAATTAACCCTGTCTTCATTTATAATATTTAGAAAAATGCGTAATATTGTCGATGACTACCATTGACTACGCATTACTTTCAAGTTTCTCCATATAATCGATATTGTCTAGGGATAAGGGAATAAGTATATTATAAGTGTGTAAAATTAACTCGTAATTTTAATCTAAGTCGCATTTCTTTTTTAAGTATCCATTGAAAATGTTGTTATTACTCTAATTACCTTCTTCTTCTTTTTTTATGTAGATATGACTCTGTTTGTTTTTCAATGTGCCTTCAGTAAGTTGTTGTTTCATCATTTTCGTGATCTTCCTGTATCGACTGATCGTCTTCCTATTGAGGAGCCGTCTCGTGCCGTTTTTACTACTCTATTTGTTGCTTTATGTATCCATCTACAAAGTATAAAAACCCAAATAGAGAAAGCAGTGGAATAGAATAAACCTCTAGTTCTAATATTTATCGATTTTCACAAAGCCTTTGACACAGTTGAGCTAAGCAAAATATTACAGGCGCTTAAAGAATGCAGGCTAGATTATAGATATACTAAATTATTATACAAAATATACCTGCAGGCAACAACCACTGTCAGATTACATACTAACAGTAATCGCATAAAAATAGAACGGGGGGTTAGACAATTAGACCCAATGTCACCTAAACTTTTTAATAGGGTGCTAGAACATGCTTTTAAGAATTTGGATTGGATGACAAAGGGAATAAAAATAGATGGAGAATATCTAAACAACTTACGTTTCGCCGATGATATACTTATAATAGCTGAAGATCTAGGTATGGCAAGAGAGATGGTACAGGAACTCGTTGTGGCTACAGAAAATGTAGGTTTAAATATAAATATCTCGAAAACAAAAATCATGACCAATTTGGTACCCAACCAGAACATCAGTATTGGTGGGAAAGAAATAGAACTCGTAGATAGATATAAATACCTGGGACATGAAATTATGATTGGCAGGGATAACCAGACTCATGAACTGAAGAGACGAATCGGCCTTGGGTGGGCAGCATTTGAAAAACTGAGAGAAACTTTTAAAAGTGAGCTGCCCACATGCCTAAAGAGAAAGGTATTTGATCAGTGCGTCCTCCCAGTCTTGACGTACGGAGCAGAAACACTTACCTTAACAAAAGCAGCAGCTACCAAACTGAGAGTCACGCAGAGAAGAATGGAGCGGTCCATGTTAGGAATAACTCTGCGAGACAGAATAACCAACGAAGACATCAGGAGAAGAACCGGAGTGACTGACATCATCGAGAAGATAGCCAGACTAAAATGGAGATGGGCAGGACACATAGCCAGAATGACAGATGGGCGATGGACAAAGAGGTTATTGGAATGGAGGCCAAGGGAAGACAAGAGAAGCGTCGGTCGACCACCTACAAGATGGACTGACGATTTAAGAAGACTCAATAAAAACTGGATAAGAGCGGCGCAAGATAGACGGGGTTGGAAACATGAGGAAGAGGCCTATGTTCAGCAGTGGACTCTTGAGGCTGGATGATAATTTGTTGCTTTGAAAAAACAAGTACAAGAAAAAACACAACAACAGACACGAGAGTAGAAAATTCTATAAAAGAATAAAACAAAGCAAACAGTCATTTAGACCAAAATTGACAATATGCAAAGACAAGGACGGAGAACTATTAACAGAGAAACAAAAAATTATAATGAGATAGAAAGAATACTTTAAGGAAAACCTAAATGCATATAATGGAAGTAATCAAAACAAGACAATATATTTTACGGCGGAGCAGCACAATGAAAGTCCGAGTTATGAAGAAGTAATTCAAATAATAAAGAAACTAAAAAACAGTAAAGCGCAAGGAAAGGATAGAGTTTCCGGCAGAATTGTTGAAATATGGATGACCCGAACTCTGGGGAAGAATCGATTACCTGATAAAGTTGGTATGGACCAAGAAGAAAATGCCGCAGGAATGGGCAGTTGATCTTATACAGCCAATATATAAAAATGAATAAGAGGCAATACCAGAATTACAAACCAATTACATTGCTAAATGTAATATACAAAATCCTTTCTGGCATTATCTACACTAGATTGTCAGAATACTTCGAAAATATAATTGGTGATTATCAAAATGGATTCAGACCAAAAAGAGCCCCTACAGACAACATATTTATTCTTAGAACAATACAAGAGAAAGCTTATGAATAGGACATAGAACTATATAATATGTATATACACTTTAAACAAGCTTTTGATAGTGTGAAAAGATACAAAATGCTAAAAGACCTCCGAAATATAGGTATACCAAAAAAATATATCAGCCTCATAAAAATGACGTTGCAGGATTCAAAAGCTGCAGTTAGAGTAAATGGAGAATATCTCCCCTGTTTGACATCGACATGGGGGTGAGACAGGGAGACGCACTTTCAGCCATGCTGTTCAACCTTGTTCTTAAAGCAGTCATCAGAAAAATCAATGTAAGCGGCCATATAAACACCAAAACAGTAAAAATTACTGCATATGCAGACGATGTCGCCATCTAAACCAAAAACAATATAGCAATAGACAACTATACCATTGAACGTGTAGATGCCTTTACATATCTGGGCACAGAAATCAATCAGAAGAATTCCGTAAGTAGCGAAATTAATGCACATACTATGCTAATACTACTACTGGCTACAAGCGGCTCAGTGTAGAGAACACTGGAAAGAACTGAGGGAGGACTATATCCAGCAGTGGACGCGATTGGCTGATTGATGATGATGATGATGACTATGCTAATAAAAGATTGATGACATCGAAAATATTAGACAAAAGAACCAAAATGACTATCTACAGAACTTTAATTATACCCGTAATAACGTTTGGTTGTGAAACCTGGGTAATGACAAAAAAAGAGGAAGCCCAACTCAGGACGTTCGAGAGAAAGATACAGAGAAAAGTATATGGCCCCGTGGCAAGAGGAAGACGGCACATGGAGAATCAGGAGATACAATGAGGTTCATGAACTGACTGAAGGGTATGACATTGTAAGATTTGTGAAAAGTCAAAGACTGTCATGGCTGGGACATGTTCAGCGACAAGAAGACACGAAAACGACAAAGAAGATGTTACAGTGAAAGCCTGTAGGAAGGCGGGAAAAGGAAGGCCCAGGACGAGATGGTTGGATGTCGGTGGAAGACTACCTGAAAACAATGAATATAAGACAATGTAGGAGAAGGGCCCAAGAGAGATCTGAATAGAAGGGCATAGCCAGATAAGTTCTTGATGTTTTTTACCTTGCATCTATGTCATATATCTGATAAAACAAGTCCTTCCTCTCAACTACTTTCTAATTCTTAAGTCCTATCTTTCTGACAGCCATTTCTATGTCAAAGTAAAGAATCAGTGCACTAACTTATATTCTAATTAAAGCTAGGGTACCATAGAGTATTGTCCTTGGACTTGTTCTTTGCCTACTCTACACAGCAGATCTTCCTACAAGTCAAAACATCATCACATGCACATATACAGATGACACAGCAATCCTTGCGACTCACTCTATCCCGTACATCGCCTCGCAACTGCTCCAGACCAATCTCGATAAAATTAAGATTTGGTTACAAACATGGTGAATTAAATTAAACGAAAGCACGTCAGTACATATAACGGTCAGTAATCGAAAAAGTACGTGCCCAACCGTTTCATTAAACAACCAAAGTACTACAACAAAAGGATAATCTAAAATATCTATTTATGCACATGGACCGCAGATTAACATGGAAGAAACACATATTCACGAAAAGAAAACAGTTGGGTTTGAAACTCAGTAAAATGTATTGGCTAATGGAAAAAAGGTCACAACTAAATTTGTCCAATAAAATTCTAGTATACAAGTCAGTAATCAGTAAGTACACAAGTCAGTAAGAAAATAAAAGAAAAGAACAAGAAATAAAAATAAAAGAAGTAATGCAGAACAACAAAAGTATGAAATGCTTAAGGCCGAAATTAGGTAAGTTTGAAATAAACAAAATAATAGTGTAATAAACAAAATAAAAGATGTAAATGGAGTAGAAACAAACGTTAAAGATGACATCATAAATATAATCCACCATTTCTACTCAGAATTATATAAAACAAAAAAGGAACCACCGAAGAAATTAAAAACCAACTTAAGGCTAAAATAAAAAATGTAAACTCAGAGCTACAGCCAGAAAAAAGCAAATCAGAAATAAAGAAGGCATTGAAAGAAATGAAAAACAACAAATCGCCTGGAAAACATGAAATAACTGCAGAGATGCTGAAATATGGTGGAAACGTGGTAATTAATACTCTACATTCACTTTTTAAAAAGATATTAAAAGAAAAAAGAATCCCAAACAACTGGAAGAAATCAGTAACCATTATCCTACACAAGAAAGAGAATAAAGCAGATATAAAAAACTACCGTCATATAACACTCCTAACAAAAATTTACCAGTCGAAAGAACAAGCTGGTTTTAGAAAGGGACTCAGCACAAGTGACCATTTACTAAGTATGAAAATACTTATAGAACGAGCAAATGAATACCACATTCCTCTGTATATGGCGTTCATAGATTTCGAAAAGGGTTTCGACATTGTCGAACATTGGGCAGTAAAAAGTTCTTTGATTAACAGCAGAATTGACCATAGATATACGGAACTAATAGCCAATATATATAAGGAAGCCAAAACAAAAATTAAAATATATGAAGGAACAAAATCAATACAAATAAATAGAGGCGTGAGACAGGGTGACACAATATCACCGAAACTTTTCAATCAGGCTCTGGAAGATACTTTTAAAAGATTAGAATGGGAAGAAAAAGGTATAAAAATTTATGGACAACGCTTGAACCATCTAAAGTACGCTGATGACATCGTATTGATAACCGATAAAAAAGAAAAATTATTTGAAATGATAAAAGAACTGGACTGGAAAGATAGGCCTTAATATGAATTACAGCAAGACCAAAACCATAACAAATACAGATGAAGACATCACAATGAGAATCCGACAAGATGAAATAGAACAGATTTAAGATTATATATATATATATAAATATATATATATATATATAATATATATATATATGTATATTAATATATATATATATATATAATATATATATATATAATATATATATATATATATATTAATATATATATATATATATATATATAATATATATATATATATATATATATATATATATATATATATATATGTATATCTGGGTCAAAATATAAAACTTAACAAAGAAAACCAAATAGCAGAGATGAAAAGTCGAGTTAGACAGGCATGGGCAGCATTTGGCAAACTAAGTTACATTCTTAAAAACAAAAGATATCCACAGCATCTTAAGACCAAAGAATACAATCAATGCGTACTCCCTGTTGTTACTTATGGTAAGACAAATGTTGCACTTAAGCACATCCTTAAAAATTCCAATCGAAGGCCTTTTGTATTATCACAAATGCACCGTGATACATACCCAATGAATACATAAATCGCGATCTTTAAATGAAGACTGTCAAAGCAGAAATTGTCAGTTTCCCCAAAACATACGACAGGTGACTGCAAAACCACCCCAACAGGTAAAACGCCACGATCTACCAACAATATTAAAAATTTTAAATTTTTAAAAACTTTTTAATTTTTTATTAGAGAGTCCCAAATTATGTTTACTAAAATTATGATTTAGGGTTCTTATCACTTGACAGTCTCTGGAAAGTTTCTTGTAATTAAATCAAACAATTTACTTATTGTAATCATGTTATGGCGAGCACGCCACTGCATGTGTGTATGTTTCATCTCAATATTCAAGACCCTTTGGAAGATGATAAACACCCATGCCGAGAATCTCTAAGTGTTTACGTATTATCAAGAACTATGAGAGGTTTTTTGTAGATATAGTGTGTATTTCTTAAGTTAGGATAGTGCTGTAAGCTAAACTGTAAACATCTGAATAAATTTGTGCATTTCCTTCAGAGTTTTTCGTTACTTAATTCTCCATCGAACACATATCATTTTATAAAGAATAAAAGTAGTGCAGTCAGTAGAATTTCCAATTAGAAAAAGTAAAGCCTTTTTTTAATCGATTTTAATCGTTAATTGGAAAATTGGAGAATTAGTGACTTAGTATTTGAGTTCCGAGTGTAAGGCCACGAGGAAGGAAAACTGAAGGAACCCGTAAGCAACTTAGAAGAATTCCAAGTGTAAGGCCACTTGTTGTGTAAAGCCACAAAGTAATTCGGAAGTTCTGGGGAGGCGCAACTAGCAACTTCGTGAAATCTTCTCAACCAGCTTCAGTGAAAAGCCACTCGACCCTGGAAACGGTGAAGCATTTCCACAGAAGAAGCAACAACATCTCTACAGTTTAGAATTTCAACCAGTTCCAGTGAAAACCCAGTTGATCCAGAAGATACAACGTTCTCCACCCGTTCTCTACCCGTTCCAGTGTAAATCCACTTGATCTGAGACGTTGCTGCAACGTTTTCGACACGTTCTCACGGAAGTACTTGAGGTTAGTCGAATTATATTCATTTTTTATTTGTTTTCATTTTTTTATTTACTCTGTTTCGCAATTTTCAAACTTTCAAGCTATCATATCTAGTATTTGCATTTTTTTATTTGTTTAATTTATTTTTGTTAATACAATGGCAACTAACAACGTAACAGCAACTACGCCAATAATTTCCGCTACCACCTCTAATAATTATATTAATTGTGACAAAGCTATCAAGCTTATAAATGTTTTTGATGGGTCTTCTTCAAAATTACATTATTTTATAGATTCTGTTGATTTTATTTTTGCAAAATTTGACCCAGCGGAATTGCAAATTTTTCCTTTTATTGTAAAAAGCAGGTTAGAGGGAAAAGCTCTTGATTTCATTGGCTCGAAAGAATTTTCGACATGGCACGAAATAAAAAATGCTCTCCTTTCTCAGTTTGGTGAAAATTTGGATTTGCAGTGTCTAAATTTTGAGTTATGTCACTTTAAGCAAAGTTCTAATGAAAAACCTACAAATTTTGTTGATAGAATTGAAAAACAATTAATTAGAATCAATAAAGTTATCAAATACGATTCAAATTTGAACGATGTTGAGAAAAAATGTTTAAATAATTTTCACAGTAAGACTGCAATTCTGACCGCTATTACGGGCATAAAAGAACCTTTGTGTCAAATGCTTCGCTCTTTAAATCCTAGTTCGTTAATTCAAATTAAGCAAATTTTAAACGATTATGAAAACCAACAATATTTCAAACAAACAAATGACAAGTTTTCTAAATTAAATATAAATGATGACAATAAAATTTCGTCAAGTACTGCAGGTACTCAAAAAACATTTTCTGATCCCGGTTCAACAAATCAATCGATAAATCCACCGATTAAATTAACTATTCCAAAGTGCACTGTTTGCCATAAATATGGACATAAAGCAGAAAAATGTTATCGTAAACCACAATCTCACAATGTTGTTCATAATACCTATTGCGACAATGATAGTTCAGAAAAAGAAATAGAAATCGAAGTTGATCATGATTTTTTTAGAGCAAGTGCCGCTGACAACGTTACAGTTTACCAAGTAGCAAATAAACCGCTTCTTTACGCGCATATTAAAAATTTGAATATAAAATTATTAATTGATTCAGGAGCAGCTATATCAATATTGAAACCTGGTAAAATTTTAGATTCTTATCACTTTAATCATGAAGATTTTAAAATATTTGGTATTAATAACGAACCAATTCAAGTTACAAAGAGCGTAAATTTTAAGTTATTTTCGAGTGTTCAGAAATTCTATATAGTAGACATAAATTCTCCTTTTGATGGAATACTTGGTTATGATTTTTTAGAAAAGAATAAATGTGTTATTGACTTTGGTTTAAATACTTTATTTGCTAATCATGAGGAAATCCCTTTGTTTTCATCTGATCGGGAACATAATATATTGAGTCTAAATAATATACACGAACATCAAGTTAGAAGTAATAATGTTATCGACTTAAGTGAAAAAATCGATACTACTGTAAGTAAACAAAAATTAGACGCTCTGCCAAGAATTCGATTAAACCATGTCTATCAAAAACAAAATGAATATACGGAATTTGAGAATATTAAAACTAACGTAAATTTAAATAACTTTACCTACTCTAATGAGCAAATCTTAGACGTTAACAATAAGACTATTTTATATTTATACGATGAGAATGACAGAAATGTAAATCATTTCGAAATAATCAATGATAATTTTCCCACTGTTGGTGACTCGGATTTTGAAAAAATATTAAAGTTATATAACGAAAATCGTAGTAGAGAGATTACTATAGTTAAAATTAAGCCACACCATTGCCTTGAGAATTTTAATACTTTGAAAAAACTAGTATTAGTTAGAAATAAAACTTATTGCATACCTTATTTTGAAAGTAATATTTATTATAAAATGCTCAGTTTCCTTTACCCAGACGTGAACTTTATAATTTGTAAAAATATCGTTACTATGCCGCCTGTAGAAGAAAGGCAAAGGATAATTTTCGAATATCATAACGACCCGGGTAATTATCACAAAGGAATTAATGAAACTGCAGACAAAATTCGACAACTTTATAAATGGAAAAATATGTATCGAGAAATAACCGAGTTTATTACTTTATGCCCTACTTGTCAACTCTCAAAATTTGATCGTAGGAATCGTACTCAAGGTTTAAATGTAAGGCATTCTCCGGAGAAACCATTTGAGGCTTTATCTGTAGACCTGTTCTTTTTTGATAAACAAAAAATGCTCACCGTTATAGATAATCTAACAAAATTTGCACAAGCGTATATTTTAACTGATAAAAACCCAGAAACGATAATTAGTAAATTAAAAAATTATTTTTCGCTTTTCGGCCTTCCTAAGATGATTATGTCAGATCACGGGGGTGAATTTAATCATAAAAAGGTGCAAAGTTTTATTAATTCATTGAATATCGAATGGCACCTTACTTCGTCTGAGTATCATGCCTCTAACGGTATAATTGAGCGCTTCCATGCTAACATAACAGATACTTTGCGAAGTTATCTTTTAGAACATAACCAGTGCGACTTAGAAGATGCACTTTTAGTCGCTATACACTCATATAATTCTAGTAAATATTATTCAACATCCACTACACCCTATAGTTTAGTATTTCCATATAAAAATGATATAGACTTTGAAATTTCTTATAATAATCAGTTAGAAAATATAAGGGAAAAACAATGCGATCAAAGGAAAAAGCAAAAGAAACGCTTTGATAACTTAAGAACGAGCAACTTGGAAGTAAAGTATAAAGTTGGAGATAAAATTCTCTTAAAAAGACCAAGAAATCCAAATACACCAAAATCGGTATTAAATACAGGACCATATGTTGTTCTTGAAGTCAATGAAACCAATAAAACTCTAAAAATTAAGTTAGATAACAAGGTTATTCGAAAATTTCATTTTAATAATGTAAAACCATTTTATGATGCTATTAACTAAACGAAGTTGAAGTGTAACACGGCAAGTAGTAGATATGACCTTTCATTATCCATATTATAAAGGGATTTTAATCAATAATAACTGCAACATATAATTCGATTACCTTGTGGTACACTTCATCTACGGCCTTCTCATAACAACAACAGTAGAATGAGTTATTGCCGGTTGGTTTTTTTGTTCCATGTGGCCCTACCTGCCCTGTGCGGAGTATATCTAGAGAGGCGCCAAAACTTCGAAGCTGTAAAAGAAGCCCTTCTTGAACACCCCAGCTTCGGTCTTCAGGAGGGAGGTGTTATGGCGAGCACGCCACTGCATGTGTGTGTGTTTCATCTCAATATTCAAGACCCTTTGGAAGATGATAAACACCCATGCCGAGAATCTCTAAGTGTTTACGTATTATCAAGAACTATGAGAGGTTTTTTGTAGATATAGTGTGTATTTCTTAAGTTAGGATAGTGCTGTAAGCTAAACTGTAAACATCTGAATAAATTTGTGCATTTCCTTCAGAGTTTTTCGTTACTTAATTCTCCATCGAACACATATCATTTTATAAAGAATAAAAGTATCATTATTACAGATTGTTAATAAATGGAATGTTAAAAAAAAATTTCATGAAAAATCGTTTAGTAAGCAAATATGTATAAATTTATTATTCTACATTTTTCCCTATGTCCTATTCTCTTGTAAGTATATTATCTTTAAAACAAAAGAAATGTAGCAAATAAACCTAAAAAGTTCCCTAAGGAAAGCAACAAATTACATCCCTAGCGTAACTGTCCTAAATGTTCAGAAAATCCCCAAAACACGCAAACGAAAACAAATTACCGAAAACGTTTACCTCTTTTTCGACAAGAAAAAAAAACTATTACCCACTACATCGACTCTAATTAATCTTCTCAAACGGTCTTTGTGTAATTGCATTGACCGCTGCTATAAGTAATAAGCTCCTCTGAGGCGATAAGTTAATGCCGTTAAAAAGACAAATGACGATCGAATCCTGTCGGCAAACA